ATAACTAATAGATAACATATCTTTCTGTAATGATTGCCATTATCTATAGCTGAAACCTGACTTATACACCTTGTTGGAATTTTTGGACTGGCTACAATAAAAAGAAACCAAATTCAAAATGACATTAACAATAAACAAATACGTTTTCTCCTATAATGGAGGCCAAAGATAGAAAATATTCCAGGTTCATTCTGTGAGTTGCTCAGTGAGCTCATCAAGAACATAGGTTCTTCATGCGTATTTTTTATCGTATTTGCTATACTCAGCTCCTTCCTTTTATGGTCACAGTAGGCCTTATGCTTATGTGCGTATGCCTGGGCAGGGAATGGAGGTGGGACAGAGGCTTGATTCTCTTGCCTGTAAGCCCTGAATAAACTTCTCCTTGCTTCTCACTGGTGCAAATCACCTACCTATTGCTGATTATTCACTGGCAAAGGAATTATTGTGGAATGATTAAAAATGGCTTTAATTAATTACCAGGGTGGAATCAGTGTCGGGGAGTCAACAGCTGTGTCAATTGAAGTAATTCCATCTTTTCTGTCCTTTCTCCTCTGCCTTCACACAGCTTCTTCCCAGCAAGGCTCCAAGTATTTTTCTTAGATACTCAACGGTGATCAAATGGCTTCTGCTCTTGTGGGCATTCCATCTCCCTTTCTGGGCTTCCTAGACCTCTCACACTAAAACTGGACTATTTGTGAAAAATTTTAGGATTCCTGTGGATTTCTCTCCCAACCAACAGTCCCTCACTCTCACCTCTCCAGAAAGCTTTTAAGTGTAGGAGTGTTCCAAGACAAGATGAGATCCCAAGGCTGTGCAGACTTTTAGAAACTTCCACCTTTTGTATTTATGCCCATTGTTCTGCTTAATTGTTTCGTGTATATTTTTTCTGGCATTAACTTAATTTTAGTTCATAATATTTGGCTTTGCATAGATTTTGAGAATGGTTTCACTTGAGCATTTTACTTCACAATTCTGAAATTTTAAAAATATTCTTTTAATACTTCTAGACTTATTACATTTTGGTCACTGGGAATGATCTGTATAATTTCAGATATGTGAAATCTAGACTGTCAACATGACCTAAAAGATTATCATTTAAAAAGAGATTCCACATGTACTATTAAATGGAAAGTATTCTATTCTGTTATAAGTATATAACTCTTTAATACCTGTCAATTATGTGTATTTATAATATATCTATTTTTTAGTTTTATTGATTATACCCTATATGTTATTCTTGTATGTGTGTGCGTACGTGTGTGTACACACATGTCTGTGCACTCAATCCATTTTAATAAGAAGTGTGTTGGACTCCACATCCTCTCATTTCAGACTCCAGGGACTTCCAAACACTTGGCCACAGAGAGGGGCAGGTCTCTGTTTCTCCCACCCAGGTCTTGTACATGCTTGCCTGGAATAACTGTCGGTACAGACACCCAGTTCACATTATAAATCAGAACACTTCTAGGTCTGCTGCGTCTGTTATATTTATTGCACTTACAGTTTTCTCCAAGAGCAGTGGGTTTGGTGTAATTTCAAGGTATATAGTCATGATTTTTCCAAAACAAGGATACTTTCTTTCAAATAGACTCTTCACCTCTGAAAATATAAACTCCCCTTAATCCTTAAGTGGCTGTGTATTTACTTAATAGAAAACAACAACTATAAAATCTCCTTTCACATACATACACGTAAGTTACAAGTATGAATTTCTCTCTTCCTTAGGTATACAGATTATTTCTGAAAGGGATTTAACTCAGTTGACTCTGATTCGGCCATTAAAATTCAGTTTTCACGAGCAATCAGACATCAAGAATGATTTTCAAATACTTCAGAAAAGGATAGAAGAACAAGAAATCATTCAGGAGTATATGGTAAATATTTGGTCTTAACAAAGGTCTAAATGTGATTTATTTCTCATATCACTGCCAGGGTTTTCTTTTCTTTTTCTTTTCTTTATTTTTTTTAAAAAGATTGAGCACATTGTTTTTGTCTTTAAATATTAAATTTATTTTTGAAGTCACAGGGGTACAGGGTAAAAAGTCAAACAGCATAAAAGGTTATGAAATGGATAAAGTCTCCCTCTTGTTCTTCCCTCACTTCTTGGGTCCACTTTCCACTAGTGAAGCTTCTCATACAGACTTCCAGAAAAATTGTTAGCTTGTACTTTACCTACTGTTTTCCCTTCTTTTCCTTTAAAAATAATTTTTCCATAGAAGATATGATTCCCAAATATAATGTCAGCACATATAGCCCCAGCTCATTCTTTTGTGTGCATGGTGGTTACTTACCTGAATAAAGACCTTTTCTTTGGAGAGTCACCTGGGCTGGATAGCTAGATCAGTCTCGTCTTGCAAACCAATTTTAAAATTAACCAGCACCCACCCCTTGTGAACAGCATCCACCCCTTCTCATGCCTGTACATACGTGTGTGTGTTCCTTAGAACAAACTCCTAGCAAGCAACCAGTATTTAATGCTACTAGATTTTTCGATCATTGCTCATTTCTTAAAGGACAAATGATTTCTTACTGATGATCTAATTGACATTTATTTGAGACCACAGGAATAGCTCTATGTATGTTTTTAAGCCTTTCATATTTATTTTTAGTGAACTGCTAGTTCCAATTCTTTGTCCAATGTTCTGTTTATTCCTTTATTTATCCATTAATAAGCTTACCAATAATGAAGAAATGATCCCTTTTGTATGTGTGATAGATGGTAAATTTTCCACTTTGTTGTTATGTTACACACATGTGTGTGCACACACATTGACTAAGAAAAGACAGGTATTTTTAGTGGTCAAATATGGCAAGCTTTCCTTTTTGGACTTCAGGGATTTCTGTGTCTTTTAAGAATTCCCCTTTTACTTTAGGATCATAATAATTATTTCATGATTATTTTCTAATAATTTGATGATTTTTCAAATGTAAATGTTTGATCCAGCTAGAATTTTATTTATTAGAGGGTATTGTGTAGGCACCCAGCATTATATAGCTATCCAGGTGTCTCAGGATTGTGTGGAAACTTCTCTTCAGTGATATAAAATGCCACCTTTAGCGTATACTGAAGCCCTACATGCACTTTAATTTATTCTTGGACTTTTTCCAGTGATTTGTCTATTCATATACTGGTATCAAACTCTTTTATTTATTTATTTTTATTTTTTCCATCACTATGTATCCTCTCTATGCCCTCTTCCAGCTCCACCCCTAAAGCCCTGCAATCACCACACTGTTTTGTCTATATCCATGAGTTGTCCACTCCTTTAATGAGCATGGCTAGGTAGTGTTTTTACCATCTATTAAGACTAGTCTTTCCTCATTGCTCTTATTGTACAAAATTTCTCTGGTTCTTCCTACAGATTTTTTCTAGGTTAATTTTAAAATTGGTTTGCAAAAAAGATTAAAAAGATAATCTGATTATATTATCCTACTGCTTAACACCTTCACTGTGCCTCATTACCCATGGCAGGAGGTGCCAACACCTATTTAAGGACTGGTGGTGCCAAGTTGGCCACCCAGGAGTTACTGAAAAGCTTTGAAAAGTATAGGTTTTATCCACCACTATTCTAATAGAAAACGACTAGCTATATCTTGATTTCTGTTGTAATGAACAAGGCCTTCCAGGTAGTTTCAGTTTCCCATTGGGCTACATCATGTGCTCTGTGATCATGTTGGGTACTACCCACTATTTCCCTGAGAGAACATGTATACCTCAATTTTGTTATTCTTGTCCATCCTACCTGGAATGATAGCCACTCACCTCTGTTCTTTTCTTACACACACACACACACACACACACACACACACACACACGCACAGACTTTCATGTGAGTAACTTCTAATGACTTTGGAAGGCTCAGTTCAAGTACTCATTACTTTATAGAGCTTTCCTTCCATACCTTCAGGTATGATGTAGTGCTGTTATTTATTCCAGTGTTGATATACATGTTCACGTGTGCACCCCTCTAGGCCTATATCTTCAGATAAAGTCTAGTGCTATCAGTCAAATTGGTGTCTTTGTACTTGTTCGCATGTCTGCCCTCCAATCGAATACCTTCAGGTAGAGTCCAGTGGTCTCATTCATACTGGTGTATTTGTACATGTTGTATGTCTTACCAACCAACCCCATACCTTCAGGTAATGTCTAGTGCTGTCAGTCATACTGGTGTCTTTGTACATGTTCACGTGTCCGCCACTTAAACTTCTCCTGTAACTCATGTAGGATGAAGCCATATTCACATTCAGATTCATCTTTGTATTCTAAAGTTTAGAACAGTACAAATACATTCTAAATGTCCAATAAACGTTTGTTAGATTTATACTTGGTAAATAAATTATTTTGATAGGACACTCTAATTAGTGTCCCAGCTGTAATTTCTTTGTGGGGCAAGTAGTAAATTGTGAGACTATTTATATTTTTTGTTTATATGCTTATATATTTTTGTTGCTGTTATTTTTGTCTATGAAATGATAGATTTTGGGTAGATCCTAAGAAGTGATTATTCTATATTTCCTTTTTTTAAAGGAAAATTAAAAGTTATTGAAGTTCTAACAAAAGAAGAATCTCTAAGGGTTTAACATTTCCTTATCAAGCCACTTGTTTATTGATATCTGAAGTTTGAGATATTTCATATAGTACTTTTAAAAGGGGGTTTGATTTTTCTATTATTCATACAGCACATTAATATCAGGTCATGTCATTTAGAGTGTTAAGGATCATGAACAGTAGACAAAGGCAGATGCTTTTTGTTATAGCAAATACATGACTTATATTTCTTACCTCCAAAGGCTTTGGACAATAAGAATATGCATTATGAGTTCAACTGTGGGAATGAACTATGCAACAGAGACAAAAACAGATATCGAGACATCCTTCCATGTGAGCTAAAAATGCTTTTGATTATTTTCCTGTTTACATTTGGGAAAAAAATAAAAAGTGGTTTGTATGGCTTTTAGGCATTTTGATCTGAGGCCATAATGAGGAGTGAGCAGTCGGTGGCCTGGGTATATGTTTGGATATGCAAGAACGTGGTTAAGTTCAAGTCTTTCAATCCAGGTACTTCTTTCAGCCACAGCCACAGGGTTATTCACAGAAGTCCTTCAACCTGTTCTTATGCCTTTATTGTTATTTTTCAGGACATGAACCAGCTAAAACATAGTCTAATAATTTAAGACATCTGTCACTTTTAGTACAAGAAGCCCTGACCAGCTCCCTAGCCATTTTGTTCAGACGCACAAATAAATGGTACTATTTACAGTCTTAGTCCTGGACAATAAAGTTGCCAATAGGTGGCTGCCCTTTGTCTCCAAAGGGCCCTACACATTCCCTTTGCTGAGTGAATGTAGTGCCACTTCCCTCTCCACCTGGCTGGTTTCTCACAGGATTTATCTGTCTCGGGCCATGCAAAGAGCAGAAAAACACACAGAGGCCAGCTCATTCTATGCCTTACATTCCTTTAAAAGTCAATAGTTTTTATTTTCTTAAAAATATATTTTATTGATTTTTTACAGAGAGGAAGAGAGAGGGATAGAGAGTTAGAAACATCGATGAGAGAGAAACATCAATCAGCTGCCTCCTGTACACCCCCCACTGGGGATATGCCCGCAACCAAGGTACATGCCCTTGACCGGAATCGAACCTGGGACCCTTCAGCCCCCAGGCCGACGCTCTATCCACTGAGCAAAACAGGCTAGGGCAAAAGTCAATAGTTTTTAAATTAAATTACCATATTTCCTTTCAACTTGATCTTCCTTTATCATATATCTTATTTAATGCAACCACCAAGCTGTCAGGCCAGAAAATTCCAAGTCACCTGCAATATCCAAAAGTAGTCATAGCGCTCTTTTGATTCTACCTGGTTAATACCTCTAGAATCCTCTCCCATCTCTGCTGCTGGCTTCCAGTGAGCCCGCTGCATCCCAGCTGGTCTTCTCTGCACTGCCCCCACTCCCTCTATTCACAGTAACTCCAGAAATGGTTTTCCTGAAATGCAGATCAGAACAGGAAAAATTCTCCTTTTTAAGACCGCTTGGCCTCTCTGTTCCTGTCATGGCAGAGTTCTTTAACATGGCATACTTGTCACCTCTCTAGCCTCAGCTTTCCCATGGAACTTCTGGTTTCTGGAATTCATCATTCCCCTTCTCTTGTCTCCAGGCCTCTGCACCTGTGGTTCTTGTAAGAACCGTCTATCCTTCTTTGCTGAGGTAATTCCTGCAGTCTTTCAGAGCTAGCCCGGCCAGACCTTCCTTGTTTTCCTCAAAGCTAGGTTTGGTATTTTCCAAAAGTCTCTACCATCTTGTGACTACCCTCCCCCACTTACCAAACTGTGATTTAATTAACTATTTATGTTCTTGTCTCTGTCACTAGGCCTGAGGTGTTTATTATAAAAATCAGAGTAGAACACAGCAGCTGCCACCTTGAATAAATATCTTCATGTTTAGTTGATTCATTCAGATCTCAAATAACTTTATGATTATAAAAGTAATAACCTTCCCAAGTTAGTAAAAATAATTTATTCTATCTTCTATAAGGATAGTGCGGAATGCATTGATGACTATTTCTGAAATCAGGATGATGAACCATTATTAGACAGTTTAAGAGATAATGCCAACAATTTGGTGTTACTCTAAGAAGTTAGGGGTTCAGTGTTATAATTTCTGCCCTACACATGCCATTAATCCAAGCACACTGAGTGCACGCAGGCCTTAATAAGCCTCTGGAGCTCAGCAGAAACTCATCATGGGATAGGGTACATTTAACATTTGATCTGGCTGAACTTTTATTCTGGGTACAAGAAGAGTGACAACTAAAGAGACGCAAAGCTATGAAATAGTGAAGTGAAATGATTAAAACTAAGGAAAATTATTTACAAGTTTTTTACTTTTTCTGAAAAGGAAATCGGGTGTTATTCGTTCAAGTTCTATTTTGAAGTTCACTGATTTATCTATCCCTTACCACAGTGTAACTTAATTTAAAATAAACTCACTTAACCCTTTGCAGTCGTATTAAATTTGGACATGGGTCTCGTACTGGCCAGAATTAATTTCCATTGAAAGAGCAGTGATACATAACATGCAAGATTATGAAGGATAAACAAGATTTATTAATTCTTTTTTGAACATTAGATGTATGTTTAGACAATAATGTGTTTCAATAACATGTGTTTATGTAAAAATTATATTTTATATTTCTCCATTGTGTGGTATCTTTGAAAGCAGTCTCCAATATGCAGTCCTGGTTTTCGACTACATGTATCACAAAAATAATTAGTTTGGCGTCTTCCGCCCTTAATCTTTCTGTTCGAACATACAGAGCAATCTTTACTTTTCACACCTTCACAGTGCTGCAATATATGCAGTTTCCCATTAAGCCTTTCATCTTTATCTGAGGCCAATGGTTTTCCTGCCAAAATAAAACTCTTCATGGTTACTCTCAGATTCGCAATACACTTCTTTCGGTAACTTTCTTTTTGCCATTTTGGAGTATTATTTTGAAATATCTTAACAAGCGAGAATGCCTAATTACAGATAAACGCAATTTGTAAAGCTTTATTTGAAATTCTGCGAAGTATCTCCGAAGCTTGTCGATTTCTTCACTCTCAAAAGGCGACTGACTCGCCACGGTGTTTTGCATGGCGAGTGTGGAACGACCACGTTTGTTTATATTCAGTTTCGATATCTCCGACTTGTCGGGGCAATGTTTTGGTTCGTGACAGGTCGCTTAGACACTTAAGAGCTTTCAGAGAAATTATGAACTGATACATGAATGAATAGAGTTAAGATTTGTACGGTCCCTTGCTGTGGTGGCTGAGAGCAGACATACGACCGCAAAGGGTTAAGTGACTGTTAGGGTTGCCGAAGGAGGAATGCACAAGGCCAAAAGGGGTGAAGAGTTATGACTGTATTAGGTCATCTGGAAAACCAGATGGGCTGAGCCCCAAAATGGTGCCAGCACCCAGGGTTGGGGAGTCAGAGATTGTAAAGAACTCGAGATGGGCTTCTGCTTGGCAGAGCATTCTCTGAGCAGGCCCGGATCCTAGGAAGGTCTGGAGGGGAAATGGAATGCGATCTAAGCGAAAGGGAATGTCCCTTGTGAAGTGGCCTAAAGGTCAGTTCCCAAGGGATATTGATTCAATTATTTGATCAGACCTAACAGTGACAATCATGCAAAGTTTCTTTGATTTCTTCACCATAATTTTTTGGATGTAACAGAAAAGGTTCATGAAGAATTACATGAAGAAAGCCAAAGAAATAACATCTTCCTTTCTCTTCAAATGCTGAGACCACTAAATGGGGAACTCATGCATCCTGGGACACTGCAAGTGAAGACAGTCCTCACTTTGCATGGTTCCAAGATGCACAAATTTCAGTTACTATGTTTCATTAGGTAACAACCACTCCTCAAAAGCATGACTCAAATTTCAGTAGTGTCACTATATTAACTATGAATAATTGTCTAAGGTGTAAATTTCACTTCTACCTCTCCTGTCCACAGATCACTATGTGAGTACAGATGCACATCCTGATCAGTGACCAATCATGTCACTTCTTTTATGATAAAAAATTTTTTTATTGATTTTTAGAGAGGCAGGGGGAGAGAGAGAGAGAGAGAGAGAAGCATCAGTGTGAGAGAGACATTGATCGGTGGCCTCCCGTACAGGCCATGACTGGGGATCCAATCTGAAACCTTAGATATGTGTCCTGACCAGGAATCAAACCCACAACCTTTTGGTGAATGGGATGGTGCTCCAGCCAACTGAGCCATCAGGCCAGGACTCATGTCACTTCTTTTAAATATGTCAGTAGTTGGTCACTGTGTGCTGGTCACTCAGTTCATGCACAGACAGCAAAGCAGGTGGTTGTGTTGCCTCCTCATCTTTCAGTGATAAACCGACATAACATTTTACTGGATATGGATAATCAAAAGATGACATTGACCAACAAAGATGACACTGAGGCAGAAAAAGGAAAAGTGGTAATTCTGGCAATAAAATTCCAATAGAACAGAAATAGTTACTGAAGAAATGGCTAACCAGGAAAAGGCTGACATGGCCACTACTGAAGACAGCCCAGATATGAAGCCAGAGGAACTGGTCTAGAGGAGTTCATTGGTATAAATGAGGAAAGTGTGACAGGGAAGATGGGCGTGTCCTAGAGGAAGTGATGCTGGCCAACAGCTCCACATTAAAGGTGCTCTCGGTGCTGCTCCACAGCAGCGTTAAGTGCAGAGGATGAAGTAGGGACGTGATCTGCCTGGGACGCAGTGTGGCAGGTCATGAGGGGTAGGGATGCTCAGTCAGCTTTTAGTCATGTGACAAAAAGAAGAGGCAAACACTGTTCAAATTACTCTTGATAAGTTTTTTTTTTACAAAATAATTGCTCTGATTTTCAATCTTCCTAATGTTTTAAATTCCAGTGTTCTAAATAATTATTACTGCTGTTTTTCCACTTCCCTTACATTTATAACCAACAGTAAAAGGGTTTCTAATGTCAACATTCAGAAGGCAGTCATAATTTGTACCCTTGATTATTAGCATTTTTTTGCACAGCTTCAGCTTGCAGTCACTTATGTTCCTGAAAAGTGAGAATGGCCTGATCGTGTTGTCCAGGGATCTTCATGTGTAAAGACAATATCTTGCATTTCTGTAGCACTTTACAAGTTATGAAGCACTTTAAAAATGCATAATCTAGCCCTAACCAGTTTGGCTTAGTGGATAGAGAGTGTCGGCCTGCAGACTGAAGGGTCCAGGGTTCGATTCCGGTCAAAGGCATGTACCTTGGATGCGGGCACATCCCCAGTAGGGGGTGTGTAGGGGGCAGCTAATCAATGTTTCTCTCTCATTGATGTTTCTAACTCTCTATCCCTCTCCCTTC